GGTGTTTGCCTAGGGCAGCAGCAAAGGTAAATACACAGCTGCCATAGCACATATGTAAAAATTGTGCTCTGGTCCAATAGGGGTATACAGGTATAGGAAGGGAAGTGTTTATGAAAGCAATATCCTTAATATAAAGCAGTTTACCTAAATAAAGCAGATATTGGGTGGCTAGTGATGTATAAAATAGCGCATCCAGATAGGAACACCTATCATTTCCTGTTAGTAATAAACCATTTGCCATTTCTTACCTGAAGCTCCTCAGCAGTGGTCACATCTAGCCCTGTTATTTCCTGTATTCTTGAATTAATCTTTTCAACGACTGGATCCTCATAGCCAGAAAGCCAAGCACTAGCATGAAAGGAATGAGGAGAACAACTAGCATCAGTGTTTTTAAGTCAGAGTTCATTTAAAATGCATGTCACTAATGTCGTGTTACCCAGAGGGTTCACTGGAGCTCCTCTGCATACATATGGACAACTTCCATAAAGCACAATTAAATACACGTTTGAGCTCCTGACTTTCATTGTTTATGCTGTGCATAGCTTGCCCTGATGCAGGTCATACAGTATTCATAGAACAAACCTACAGCGTTTAATTTACTTAACTGCATCTCCCAGAATGCTTACTCAGCCAGTACTAATTAAGATGTATTTCCGCAAGAGCCAGAAAGCTGAACAGAATGTTTCCCTGTTGTAAAGAGACACATTTTCTCACACACTTCACATAAAATGTAAAATACACTGGATGGCTGTCAATGGAAATAATTTGTTCAGCATTCTTTCTTTGTATCTGTCCACCGGGGCTTCTCTGAGAGATAGCTAGCCTTGCATATAAAGTAATATTACTTCTGTGGCTCAAAGGCAGCCAGACAGATCTTGGGAAAGGGAGTACCGAGGCTGTCATCTGATTAGAGTCTGCAATAAAAACCCACAGGCAAGCTGAACTGACCATACATATTATACACAGGAAAAAAAATAAAAAGGAGTGACCCAGTTCTTATTTTGCAAACTAGGAAAATCAGAATTAAAAAAACAAAACAAAAAAAAAACAGTAAAAAAACACAGCTGTTTCATATTTAACAAAGAGTTCCAGGACTGGACACATTTAGTAAATTACTGCTTTCATTGCTCTCCAATAGAGTTACATATAACTAGTGTACTGCCTTCAGAAAGCAGTGCATAGGAATTCAGATAATGTCTGCATAGCATAGTCTTCACTAGCTGCCCCCCCAGGAGAATCTGTCCATGGATTAAACGGGTTGTTGCTCCCTCCACTCTTTGCTTTGTGGAGAATTAAAATGATTAATTGATCTATGTTCTTATTTGAAAGGGCAAAAGAGTAATGTGCAAAAGAACCGCGATTCCCGCAACCAAACCATAAAATCAACTTTGTTGGAATTAACTGCACCAAAAAGGTGAACATGGAAATATGATCAGTTGTTTTGCAAGACTGAACTTTTTGCCTTTGGTTAATATTACCAATACAAGTTTCAGACCACCAGAGAACACCATATGATGGGAAAGGCAGAGTGCTTCAACATTCTTCTCAATGGCAAAGATGGATTCCCGATAGCAAAACCACTCCACCCCAACAGCATAACAGGGGTCACAGAATCCAAAGGAAATTGTGCTTATGGCTTCTTAAACTCCATACTGTTCAGTTATAAACAGGAATGTCATACAAAGCACTCAGCTTCTAAAGAACAGGAGGAATCATTTAGATGCTGTGCCCAGTTCCACTGGTTTTTAATCACCAGTGAGAGGTAGGAAAGCAATAAGCATTGACAGCATCATATAAGGGGATATATTGTCCAGTTGTTGTAAGAGAACTTGTGGACCTAGGGCCAGCTTAACTGGAAAGAAGAAGAAAGAACAAAAAAATGGCCAACTGCACAGGAGTGTTTAAGACTGTCCCTGTCATGCTAGAGTCCCACTTAAAAAAATAAATAATAATATAATACGATTGTGCTTGCCCCTGCTGCCGACCATATAAAACTAAAGGTGCCCATACACTGTACGATTATCGTACGAGAATCGTGGGAAATCCTGCGATCGTATGATAATCGCAAAGTGTATGGAAGGCGTGCGACCGTTTCTACTGTACGGTAGCACGTCTTCCGTCGAACGGTTAGTGGCCTGCTTGTTCGACAACTGCCGAACGCGCCAGTGTGCGCACGCGCACACTGCCCGTTTGCAGTAATCGGAAGCCCGCACCTCATGGGGGGCGGCTTGCGATGACTGCAAGTACGATCTGCCGGTCCAAGATGGGCAGATCGTAAGTTTTTTTAATTAAGACAAAAGTCTTGCGAGGGTTGTAAAGTGTATGGCCACCTTTATAGGTAGCTGTCTGGGCGCTATATGTTTGGTGGACAAATTCATATAGAATTCAGGAGCCAGCTCCAATGACAACTAGAGAAAACCTCAAAAGTCAGGAGCCAGCTGTAATTAGCTGGCTCTTGGGATTTGTCCAGGCCTGGTATATAATCTATCCTCACTTTCCATATCATTTATAAAAGCTAAATTTGATTTTTTTTGCAACATCCTTATCTGCTAAAGTTGAACTATCAGAATTTTAAACGTCTGCACGAAGACATTCCAGAGGTCAAAATATAAATCAATAGGTTTTTTATTTTATTATTGTACATTAAAAAGCAGTTCATCTTCAGTTAAGTGGCTGTGCCTGAAAGGTATATTCTAGTGAGCTGAAGGAAGCATTTCCTTGGTTTCCCTGCTCCAGTAATCACTTATACAGAATGTACAGTGCAACAAAGACATTACCAGGGGGCTGATCACTGAGACAAGCACAGGACATAGGGGCTACTTTACAGTCATTGGAATTTACTTGATTTTTTTAACCTTTGGGCCAGTATTTTGACAATGGATTATGCTGGCCTTCTGCAGAGAAGGATATTGCAAGGCATTACTGGAGAAAACTCTTAGAGGTAGGGCTGCAACAACTAAAATCGACAATCGATTATTGAAAAAGATGTCAACTTTTTCAATCATCGATTAATCGGCTTCCTGTTCACGGCTCCACACGCCGCACCTCCCCCCCCCCAAAGGAGGAGCACATGTGGGGGGATGGCAGCCGCCGATAGACAGGCCCGATCTCAGAAGCAAGTTGCTGGAAGACTGCTCAGGTAAGCCTGCACTTTCCCCCCACATGGTGCTCTATAATGTATTGCTGGGATTTGTATTCCTCTATAGTTAAATGGTACATTGTGCTGTATATTATAACATCAGCTATAGAGGACTACAAATCCCAGCAATACATTATACAGTGTATGCATAATGTATTGCTGGGATTTGTTGTATTTCTATATAGCTGGTGGTATTCTGCATTGCGCTATATAGAGGACTACAAATCCCAGCAATGGTACATTATGCAGCGCAATGCAGAATACCACTAGCTATAATGTACTATTGCTGGGTTTTGTAGTCCTCTCTAGCTGGTGGTATTCTGCATTGTGCTGTATAATGTACTATTGCTGGGTTTTGTAGTCCTCTATAGCTGGTGCCATTCTGCATTCATTGCTCTATAAATTTTACACTTTTCATTTCACTATATTGCACACCACACTTTTTTTTTTTCCCCTTTTTTACTTCCACCGCTCCAAGCTTGCTCCTGTGATGGACTACAATCTCAATACAAACTAGTAGTCCCATCATTGGAGCCATTTTTTAAATGTATTTTATTTTATCAGATTAAATCGAACTTAATAAGCAGCTAACTGATCGGTTTTGAAAATAATAGTTAGCTGCAGCTCTACTTGAGGGAAAGGATACCTGCAAGGGTTACACTTACAGTGCTATTGCATGCATGAACATGACATGAAAAAATTAAAAATTTATTTTGTGACAAGTGTGCTTTAAATATAAAACAGGGAAACCATTTTCAGTAAAACGAACTTTACATATGAAAAAGGAAAATAGTCTGATATGCACTAAAACCATATTAGTACAGTATCAAGTAGTACAGTGACTCTTTTGACAGAATTCCTAGAATACCAACAGAAAGCAGTAAAGTCCAGTTTATATGCGACACATTACAGGAAGCCCAGCTGAAAGTGCTGTGTAGGACTGGCATTAAGCCACCTCGTACTTGCCACGTACTGTACACTGGGATACAGTAGTCTACAAATCAGTCTGTTCTGCAATTCAGAACAAATTCAGCTGTGGTCAAGACAGAGCAGTCTTAAAATAGGAAAGACTTTAATAGAAGAAAAAAAAAAAGTCATTATCTGGTATAAATAATTTGCTGATTGGGAACAAGTTTGCAGATCAGGAGCCCTGACCTCACTTGATGCATAGTTGGTTCAAGTCCATGGGTCAAAGTACAGCCAAAAGATAGTCAACAAGACAGCCATTTAGATATTTTTCAGGCGCTGGTTAGCAATGGTAGTCTTTGCCTAGACTAGTTTCCTCTGAAACAGAACACTACTACACTGTGCCCATTTCCCAGTTATATAATAATCAGTGATTTGTAATGAGAGACCATAAACCTTCCGGTTGCTCTTGTACATTTTTAGTACAATTAATATGGGTTAGGGGACAAAATAAATAAAGAAGGGTGTAAATATGACTGCATTATATGGTTCGCTCTTATCAAGAGTATGAAAACCTTTTAAAAAACAAAAAGGGACATTTCTAACTAATGTAAGGCTACATCAGCCAGTCCACCCACCAGGAAAATTAAAGAGTTAAAGAAAAACAGGACAGTATTTTTTGTGCATTAACATACAATGTACCACCCAAACCTTGTGATCTTTAACCCTTTCTCAGACAGTCCTCCCACATCTAATTTACAACTGATATTGAAGGTCTGCCAGCACAGTACAGACAGGATTATTTATGGTAAACTCCCAAGCCCCTTCCTTAACATCATAGAGAAGGGGAAAGTAAAGTAAGATTTTTCAGCAGGTAAAGAGGTAAGAAGCATTTTTTAATTCTTTGTTTTAGGTTATGGTATATAAATGTAGTTTGTAGTTTCCCTATAGTCATTACTTTGAGTATCATATATTATGATCGGTGAGTTCTTTGGACATATTAGCAACACACTTGTGGAGCCAGGCGGTATCTTGCAGCTACAGATATATAAAGTGCACAGAAGAAATAGGGCTTCACCTCTATGATTGGTGAAAAGCATAAGAGGTATCATACGGAAGAGATCCGTTGGTGGTGTATGTGCTAAACCTTGGCTCTTGTATTGAATTCACGATGATAAAATTGGCTTTTATGGACTTGGTTATGTGCGGCTGATCTTTGGAAAAAGCTAAAGTAGGAGTTATCCCAATTTGGCGGCAAAGTGGAATCACACTTTAATAGTAGCAGATTTCTCATTCATGTAAAGCAAATTATACCTCTTATATGCAAAGTTATAACATGCTTGTAATGTTGACATGTGCCCTATTGATGCAAGTGTGAATTTCAATTGCTGTTCCACTAAATACTATTATGCACTAACAGCCAAATCTTCAGTGCTAATTAAACCTGTAACCTAAATAAATAGTCATGAAGACTAAGCCTCTTTGTTAATATAATATGATTCAAGAAGTGACTAAACATTCTTTTTATAGTGTTGCTCTTCATGAATTTCACTCTTCGGATACAATTATTCCATGTTACCAGAACTGCAATAATCACTGATGGAAAATTCAGGTCATCGCTGTAAAATGATTAGGATAATGAAGCAGTCCAAGTTAACCCAACAGAGTAATTTCTGACAAAATATGTTAGCACTATATTTTTTGCATATAAAAAAACAGAATATTCATGTAAAACAGATAAATAGAACAGCATTCACCAACAGCATTAGATCACCACTCCCATATCACCCGTTAGTTAACAGCTAAAATCTAAATAAAAGAAATATGGGGCCATGAGCAACTGAATTCAGAGTATTTAAAGTGTACGTCAAGGTAAAACTTATAGCCTTTTGGTACAGTGGGGATTTTATATGGCTATCTGGGGCTTCGTCATAGAGATTATCCTCCACTTCGTGTCCTGCAGACAATTATTTCACCAGTGAAGTGAGGTAACATCAGTAAAGGGGACACAGACAGAAATCAAAATCTGATAGGGGTCCTAGCCTTCCCCTTCTCTACCAATGAAGAAGTCCATTTATTTCTGCCGTTGTTGCTGTTGGAGAGTTACTCATACTTCCCATCTGGTAAACCGTTGGAACGACAGGAAGTGAGGGAAAATCTCTCGAACGGTACCCAAGATAGCAGTAAAAACGCACCCATCCCCAAGTAAAACTTTCCCCACTCTATCTAAAACAAAAAAGGTTTGACTTGACATCAAGTACAGTGGTACACACAGGTAAAGTTGCTCCAATGTTTGTAATAAAAAGTTCTAAAGGGTTATGTACAGAGGTTCTAAAATGTTAAATATATATTTAAAAAAAAAGAGCAAAATGCAAGACATGCATCAGCCATAGCATTAGTCAGTCCCAAATGTTTAGTTATAGCCAGTCACAAACATCTGGTTTGTAGCCTCCAAGCTGTCTAACCAATTCTAGTGCCAAATGTATGGTTTGTCTTTTGTTTCATGAAAGTCTTTGTATATAGAATAATCTTTCTATACAATTTATGGTGTACATCTGCTCATTCAACATGGCAGAGTATTCACCAGTAGGGAGGCCAGCAATATAATACTCTATATGTAAAACATGACCTTGTGTTGTGGGTCCAACCAAAAGTGTCATACAGGCCATATGTGCTTGTTCTGTACAGCGAGTAGTTCCCCACAGGGTTGCCATGTTCCATTCTCCCTGTGGTGCAGAGTGACCCACGCTAGTGGAACAGAGATGGCCAGAAAGCTCACATGTACCCATACCCTTATGGGGTCAAATCTGTAAATCCATGGCACATTCCCTTACCTCTTAGAGACTCTGTATTGTGCTGTGACCAGTTGTCCTGTCTGAGGGTCATGCACTGTAGCCCGACTCAGCTACAAAAAGAGAAAGGACTGGGTTTAATTTGGGGGCAGGCATTCTGGATGCCATGCCAGTGGTTCTGATTGGTTGGATAAAATGAGTCTTATGTAAGAAACCATCTCTTGATAAGTGCAGGGAATGAAAAAATGATTTAATCTATAGAAGAACATCCTTTCACTTTTCATTGGAGACACAGAGTGATCGTTTCACTGATTATTGGAGACACACAGAGTGATCGCTTCATAGTGCAGAGTTAACAAATCCATTAAGGTTCAGAAATGCCTTTTCATTTCAACAGGCCAAAGTGGTATTAGTCCATTTACCGCAAAAGGTACTAAATCACTGATAATTCATGGTTACAGCTTCTCTTAGCAGATGACTGCAATCAAGAGTTAAAGACTACAGATCAAGTAAACAATAAAAAAGGGACACATTTAGAATTAAACTCAACAATCCCAGCATTTAAAAATGAAAAAAAAAAAACTCCCATTAATGTTTTAGAGAACATCTGGAATACCTTAATTTAAATGAAACCTCTCATGATGCAATGCAGCCACCTGATCTTTTCTGTATATATTTTTGTGTCTCAATATAAGCAGACTATTGGGTGACCGTCATTCCCATACATAACAGCACTGGACTACTGAGAGGTTACAGGCATCCAGCTTATGGGCTGTTTCAGCAGTACAAGGGGCTTTACTAAAAAGGACCTCATTTTAAATTACATTTCTTAAGTGTAGGAACATCTACCAACCAACCAGAATGTAAATTTTGTTGTGGTCTTACTTCAACAAAAGGAAGTCTAGTAATGCACTTAGCCGAAGATCTGAATGTAGGTACTATGCCTAGTAACTTTTGGATTAGAGAAGTTGGTAAACATGGCACAGTCATTTTGGCGCCTGCATCCACTTCACTGCGTAGGAGAAATATGCTGTTTAAACAGGTCTAGAAAAACCAGCAAGCATTTGAAAAACATCTGCACAACAAACAGAAAGGATCACTCTGCACCAAACGCAACATTTAGTATTAAACCGAGGTATCAGGAATGCCATCCTGTTACCTCAGTTTCCAGACACAATGGTTGCCCTCTGCCCCCTTGCAATGCATTACACACAGGATTATGAACAGTTTGGTCTTACCTTTTGCTAATTCTGTATTGTGCGGTCTCCAGCACTCCTGTGATAGGGTTTGAAATGGTGGCTCGCTTCAGCTGTAAAGCCAACCAGTCACAAGAGTTGTAACAAACATAAGCTAACATTCACCCAACCAATCAGATGCCCACTGTACGCAGAACACATACAGTAAGGTGAAAATTCAGAAAAACATAAGTTATGCAAATATGGCAGTTGGCAATTCAGTCTCTATGCAAAATTAATACAAAAACAATGGTTCATATTGCCACCTAGCCTATATGCTTGCAGTATGCTTTGCAATTCATTGTTCTGTATGCGGTACGATTTAACTGCCAAAACATAACAGATGGAAAAAAAACATACTGTACTCATACAAAAAAATAAAAAATAAAAAAGAAGACAAGCCTACAGACTGCTTGTGCTTCCATTAGGGATGCACCAATACGAATACTAGTATTTGCATCAGTGCCGATACATAGTATTTTGGTACTGATGCTCCCGATATGCGTTTTAGTGTATTGCATGTATGTCTGTAGAGTATAACTTTGTAAATGCATGCTTGGATAAAATGGGTTTACAGGAGAAGCCTTTTGGCAGCCCACTGTAGTCACTTGATCCCTTATACATGCTTGGCTTTTAACTGGTTGTTATGAGCTTCCACAATATTAATCTTTAATCTTTAACTGATAAATGCAGAAAATAGTTACCGACCCTAGGTTTTGCAAGCTCTTTGACTTTTGCAATCTCCGCATCAGAAATGATATTGTGGTAGCGCACAATGCGAGGTCTGTCCCATTCATCCTCCTGCTTTGTAGGAGACAAGATGAAAGTAGGGCTCCTGTTTCCATCAAAATAGCGGCAGAATAGTTTCTTTTGTCTGCGAGGAGTCTGTGGAGGGGGGGGGGGGGGGGGAGTGAAAATAAGTGTAAGATTGCCAGTGTACTCTTATTACTAAAATGTCTTATCTTAGTAAATCTTTGGACACAACTATACTGTTTTACTTTAGATTTTATCGGTTTATTATTTATCAGTATTCTAATCTGGTATTCTCAACTTCTATAAAAAGGATGTAGCCATTTACATAGGTGAACTGTAAGCCAAGTGCCCCACCCCCACCTGTGTGTATTTACTCAGGTTAGTATTAAAGTGTACATATAGCCAAAGTGTAGTTTGGGAAAGAGTGTGCAATAGTTCAAATTAGGGATGCACCGATACTAGTATCGGCACTGATACCTTCCCCAATACCGGAACATCTGGTCAGAGGAAGATTTCCTCTGACTGGCAGTGCCGTAGAGGAACACCTTCCCATGTGATCAGGAAGCTTCCCATGTGATCAGGAAGCTGGGCGGCGAGTAATGGCCCGCCTCCCGGCTTTCTGATTGCCCGGGAAGCCGGCTTCCCTCCCAATCAACATTCAGCCGGCTGTTTGGCCAATCAGGAAGCTGGGAGGCGGGTCATTACTCGCCGCCTGGCTTCCCGATTGGCTGGGAAGCCGGTTTCCCAGCCAATCAGAAGCCGGGCAGACAACATGGAGCCAGCTTCTCGGGCAGATTGCCCAGGAAGCTGTCTCCATGGCAGCGGATGCACCGGTATTGACGTGTACCGAAAGCAAAGTATCGGTACTCGTACTCTATACCAAAAAAACGGTATTGGTGCATCCCTAGTTAAAATCCCAAATCAGTTTATTTTTTGCTTTCTGCCGTGATGGGAGTCTATCTCTACAAATTGAGGGCATTTCCTCTCTTAGATAGTTGTCATCAGAACAGGTGATCCCATTGAAAGATATCCTTTACCTCCTGTTATTGTAAAATTTTCGGTTTGCCATCATTTTGGTCTTTAGGACAAATAGAGAAGATTAATCTCCCCAGCAGGGAGGGGAAGGGGGGAGAGAGACAACTTTAAAAAGTTGAGAGGGGTTCTAAACCTTCGCTGTTCTATCCATAACTAAAAAGAAAAAGTTTGGGCTATGCATATGCTTTAATGTATGTACCCCCTCTTTGCATGCAACTTGGCTGTTCTAGTTAAAAGATCTGGAAGTCAAGAAAGGAAGTTCTATATATACACTACACATAGCCCCGGACACTCTTCCCTGCACCTATTCATCAGTGCTGGCCAAATATTAGTGCCAGCACAAGAGAGGAAGGAGACCAAGTTATATGCTCCTGCATACTTGTAAGTATCAGGTATTTTCTTTGACTTCGGTGGAGTTTATACCACACTGAACAGGAGCACTATACTATAAACTTCTCACTCCTATTTCAGATGTTTATGCTATAAAGCCATCACCATAACAGCAGGCATTGCTTTTTGGGTGTTGCTGACAATAATTCTACTAATAAAAAGATATCACAAATAATATTTACCATTTTAATACCCTCTCCACGGCACAGCTTCTCATACTTCTGCCTCTCTGGCAGGTGGTCTTTGGGGCGGCCTTTCCTTGTAGTAGGATGTGCTGCATCAGAATCTGAAGAACTGGATTTATTTGCTTCTTTTTCCATAATATACTCAAAGTATTTCAGATTGCCATTACCTCTTTGATGTTCAGGATCTGAAGAAGTTTAAAAATCAGCAAATAATGTTCCTTTAATAACCTATTGCACAAATCATTAGCACTATATCTAAATTATGCCCAGATTATTTCCAGGGAAGCTTTAAATAGTAGAATTAAGAGGACGATAGGAAAGTGCTTACAGAAAACATTTAACATGGTTGCATTTAGGTTCCCTTCACATCTTGGCAGTTTCCAATAGTACAATCTGGCCAGGGACACATGAAAAACAGCAGAAACCTGCAGAAATGTTATACAAGACCCCCGGGGCCGGTTCACAAAGCTACAAGCATTCATTTTCCTCATCCATCAATGCACAGAAATTAGCTTCTGTCTTTTAATTGTCTATGCACAACACTAAACTGGGTGGGTTACTAGGATTACTCAGCGAGACATGTACATCATAGCTAAAACCTCTTAAAGTTGAACTGCAGGTAAACTGCTACACACGCACACATACATATGAAATACATATAAGGGATTGGATGTACCTGCCAAAATACTTGCATTTCTGTACACCCAGTTCTGAGATTTACACATCTATGCCACACAGCACAACCTTTTGGGTCAGTGCAGGAAACCTGATTTTTCTCTGCTGCAGTTAAATATTTATAGGTCTTAGCCCTCCCATTGCGGTTTGTTAGCATATGAGCACACCCAACTGGTTACTTTTGTGGCTTCTCCCTCTCCCAATCTCAGCTTGGCTGTACAGGAAGCTGCATGAATGTAATTTGTGTAGTATATTTTCCTGGATTTCAGCTTAAAATTACACCACACACACTTTGTGAATAAAACACATGCAAGATCCAATTTCTACTGATGACACCTTTTTTTCAAAGGTAACCTATACAGAGTTAATATGGGGCTGCCATTTCCAAACTTTCCATCTGTAAAGGCTAGATGCCAAATTGGCATGCTGTTCCAGTGATTTCAGCATTTTTGGGTTACAGGCCCAAAACAAAAATGCAGATCTGGAATAATAATCTACATACCTGTTGTGGGTCAGTGACTTAAGTTTGCAGTCCGAGACAAAAAGTCAATGTTTCTTTTCAGAAAAATCAACAAAGGCAACCTCTGTATTTCCCTCGGTACAGGTTACCTTTAACCCAACATTCTACCTTGATCACTTTATACATCAATTACTGCTATGTAAACCGCAGAGCCCACCTTTCTGCAGAGGGGTCACCAGTCATTCTGCTGGGCTGAATTTCAGGTGAAATAGTTAGGTCAGTAGTGTGACTGGGATTTAGTTTGGATTGCAGTAATTTCAATGACAGACACAGTGATAGGTCTGTTCAGTTATCCATATTCTATTTCATGACAACATAACTTATAATTTAAAGTAACACTAAACTCAGGAGTTAGATCTTAAAAATGCATTGAAATACTCTAGTAACAAAAATTTAACTTAACTTATTTGTGTATCATGCAGCTGTAGATCCTCAAATCGTATCTGAATTGGTGCCGACAATTTCCTTGCTTCTGGAGGGTGGCTACTTTTGTTCCCCATGGTCCCTATGGGCGTTGCAAAGTAGCCACCGCTCCAAGCTCACTCCCATGATGGAGTACAATCTCAAAACAAGTTGGAAAACTAAATGTGAGATTGTAGTCCAACACAGGAGGGAGCTTGGAGCGGTGGCTACTTTACAACACACACAAGGACCATGGGGAACAAAAGTAGCCACCCTCCAGAAGGAAGGACAGTGTCAGCATGAATTCAGAGATGATTTGAGGATGTACAGCTGAGTGATACACAAATAAGTAACATTTTTGTTAATAGTTAAAAGTTACTTGAATGTATTTTTATGATTTAACTCTGAGTTTAGCATCACTTTTATCAAAAACGCCTATTCATTTCTTGCTTAAAAGAATGGCACAACCAAATCTATTACCATGGCTAAATCTTACCAAGCTCCAATAGCCTTTTGGTTAGCTTCAGAGCTTTTTCCAAATCGCCCTGCTGATACACTGCATAGCTGAGGTAGTCTAGTACAACAACCTTATCAACGGAGGAGGATAGCTCTCCAGCATCCAGCTGACGCAGGGCTTGCTCCATCCACAGCTCCGTATGGTAATAGTCAGCTTCCGCATAAGCAACCTTTCCCAGTTCAAAGCAGTCTTCAACAGTCAGCGTGGCTTTAGACTTTACACCTATGAACATCCAGAAAATAAAAGAAAGACGCATATGAGTTTGTATGAATATAGTTATTTTCTAAGGCATATGCAACCTATGACTGCATCATTTATTTTTCAGCTGTCACTAACATCTATCATACTGGTACTACATGCCAACCACAATGGAACGTGGCACTTTACTTTTCAGTGTGAAATCTTTCTTCAGTTATTTTTAGTTTGTGTGTTTAGGCCAACTTCTGCCTTTCTTCTATAAAACTAAATGGATCTACAAACACATAAGTCTTCTTTGGCCACAGAGTATCCACCATAAAGCATGCCCCAGAGGGATCAGCTCATTTACCCCTGTTTGTAGGTATGCATTCAGGTTTTTCGTCACTATAATTTGACACGAAGGACGATATAGAAAAACACCATTCTGTTTTATATGTGTGGACGGTTTTGTTCTCCATAGACCCATGAAAATTTTGTTTGAATTTCGCTTTGGCAGACTGTTTCTGCCTTGAAATAAAAGTTTGATGAATTGCACATCGGGTAAACGCAATTTCTGCACAATTTAAGTGACTTTCAAGAACTCTGCCTCATCCATTATCTACCAAAACATCTGTGCTCATGAAAATCCCGTGTGGCAAGATTCAGATACAGCAGAGGGCATGTCAAAGGCTACATATTGCTCCCCTGTGGCACTCCGGGGATGCCATAAGGAAGGCAAAGTTATATCATTGGATGCAGGCATCGTTCAGGTGTTTTGAGAGCCAGCAGGCTAACTAGCAAGATACTGAAGCTTGGCCCAGTGCAAGATTCCTCCATTGACACAGTTAAGTGTAGATGGAGGAATCTGTTGCACTTTCCATCTGACCATAGAAAATCTGCAGAAAAGCTATAGGTGTATGGCCAGCTTAAGACTGCACACATACACCCAATGATTTTCGAACAAGCAATGAAGCCGAGTTCCTAATAGGTCACTTGGGTGCTGAAGAATGTCCTGCATTAAGAGGCATGTGGGGAAAGACTACAAACAGTCTCCACTAGTTAAAGCTGCAACATTTAAATTGCAGTAGCAGGTAATGCTGCTGTGCTCACTCTACTCTCTACTGCCTTCAGCATGTGCCTCAGCCACCTGATTGACTTGGAGTGATGTGTCCCTCTATTTTTGCAGTCTGAATGTTGTTGAAAAGGAATTACAAGAGGTTCCTACAAAGCTATATTCAAATATGTAAAGTAGCTACATTTGAAAGAACATATCTATTTACACAACACACACACAATGTATATCCAACTGTGGGTTAGCTTTAACTGACTTTTCTGTTACAGGAGACACATTTAATGGTAGGAACATGGGAGAAAATGTAATTTCAGTCTACAGCTTCCAGATACCTAATCAGTAGCCACCATAGGGAATAAACCATTGTCTCCCAAACTATTAGTGTACTTCTTTCCTGAAGCACAGCTTTAAATACTGTGAAGTCACTCCAAAAGACTGTTCCAAAATTTAAAAAGGATGAAAAAAATAAAAAATAAAAAAGGAAAATAAAAATCAGTGCCTGTTGCACTACATGTAAGGAGAAAATACCATATAGAAGTGATTTGGGTGTGTGAAGTATACTATTTAAATTTGACATGTACAGGTTAAAAAAAGTAATATTGTACACATTGTAGGTTAGTGAACCAAACCTTATGTCTTCTGAAAGCAAAATGATATCCATTAAAGACCCAGCCCTATGGTCTGTTCCTCTCTACTCCAGACCAAAAATGTAGGAGGGCATGCATACATCATCAAGACAAATACAGGATCAGTGGTGGCCACTGGTCCTGCAGAGAGGATGTAGGCAAGGAGAGGGGCAGGGACATGCTCTGTCGAAAGACTGGTAAGAAGAAGAGCAGCATCAAGGGACCAGTCACCAACAACCTAAACCAGTGGAGAAGGGGACTGTAGGACCATGGATTAAGGCAAGTATTGCTCTGCATTCAATGATCCCCTGAAAAAAAACCAAGCACTATAGTCTTCAAAGGAAGGCGTGAGGGAAATGTTATTTTATTAAGGTCCGGAGTTATGCTTTGAACCAAAATCAACTATCCAGTACCTGGCAAGTTTCCATTAGAAAGAGTTTCGGTGTCTAAATTATAGGTGTCCTGAAGACGAATCAAAGCCTTGGCTGCACCTGTCTGGTCCTCGTCATTGGGGAAATACTGGCGCTGGACGGTTAAGTTAGAGATAAAGCCTTAAAAACAATAATAAAAATAGTAATTATTGCAACAACTATAAAAAGTATAAGCAAGTACCAATTACAAATTAGGTTTACTACCGTAGCTTCTAGGTATGTGTGCACTTCCCCCGAACTTTTGGCCGAGACACATACACTGATCACTTTCCCCTGATCCCCCTCTTCAGGGACTACAAGTCCCATATTTCACAGTGCCATTGAGGTCACTGCGCAGGCATGCCCCATCAATCCACCCTGGCTGCCTGCACATATTAGCACAGGAAGCGCCATAGGATTTTCTCTCTTCTGGGAGCATCTCCATGGAACCCGGGAAGGCAACATAGCCACCCAAAAACCGGGGACCTGGGGCAGCAATCAATGGACTGGCTCCACCCAAAAACCGGGGACCTGGGGCAGCAATCAATGGACTGGCTCCACCCAAAAACCGGGGACCTGGGGCAGCAATCAATGGACTGGCTCCACCCAAAAACCGGGGACCTGGGGCAGCAATCAATGGACTGGCTCAACTAAAAACAAAAAGGCACGATTTTGAAGAAGTTAAACAAAAGGTAAGCTGCTGTAACGGATTTTTTAATTTAGGGTTTAATACCACAAGCTAATTTATAAAGGACCAATATAACGCAAAACAAAATTTGGCTCTCATAAAACGGCAATTAAAAAGGGATCTGAAGCTGTATATGGAAAACAATACACACCATCCTGAGTGTTAAGTATTCCCACAGCAGTCAGGCTCTTGTCAGACTTCCACAAGCTTTAGCTGCCTGATTAACATGAAACAATAGGCTGTACGCAGCTAGCCTGCAAATGTACAATCTCAAGCAGTGTAAAGGCATGCGAATTAAAAAATATTGCAGGATTTGTAGAAATAGCATTTATTTTACACACAGCAAATTGTGTCATTACTTTCGTGTTTCCAGTTATTACATATACATACTGTACACGGTTACAACCATGTATGGATCAAGCAATAAAGCATTTACCATCAGACATGTCTTTCAGCACCAGATTCTCAAGTGCCTGCCACTCTGTATTGAGTCTCTTCATTAACTTGAATGCATTAACAGGGTGGCCCAGGAAGCCCTCTGGATCTTTTACTGCGGTCTCTGATAGCATATCAAACTTCTCTGCCCATCTGTAAAAGGTAAATTTAATTTGGAAAACACATTTGTAAGGGAAATTAGGAATAGAACAAACATCTTAAGAACACATTCCATCTACTTAAATAAAACATTGCTAAAAATCTTGCAAGACATTGTACAGTATGACATTTTTATTAGTAAGCAACATGATTTCTGAAGATGTTCACTGAACTGTAATTGATCTGCAAAGCAAGCTTCTGTCAAAAGAAAGGACAGCAGTAATTGAAGCGTATTTCTTTTTTTGCAGTCAAATTTGGGGAAAAAAAAATCCCTCTATGGGGTCTATACATAAGCATAAACCTATGCAGAGCCATTCGTCCTACGAATCTCTGAATGTCCGTTCTCTGTGCAAATAGAGGCAAAACACAAAAGATTTTTCATATATTCTTTAACCACTTGCCTTCTAGATGCGGGTGGGCATTTTAAAAAGTCAAAATTTTAAACAGCCAGCAATGGTTGTTTATATACAAGCGTTCTGGTGGCTCTAGAGCCACCTTACCGCTTGTATTGTGTGCCGCTCCGTGCAACCACCCCTCCGTTGATCCCAGCTACCTGTGCCCCGTCAAAGGGGAACCCTAGATTGTAAGTTTCTTGAGGGCAGGGACTGTTGTGAATGTGCACTATGTAAAAGCATGTAATATGTTTCTTGTACAAACAGTGTATGTGTAAAACGCTATTTGCGCGCCATACTGTACCAAAATACAAATACTGCTTATACATGATATCTAATGTCTCCAAAGAATTCACACATGGAAAGATTAGCTGGTGTGTAAACTCACAGCAGATGTAACATGAGCTGATATGAAGAGGATTTCAAACAGAATCCTAGCCTGTGTAAATGGAGCAGACTTAACGGTGTTGTCTGCAATGCTCTTTGCTCAAGGGAAGAGAAGCTAGAGAAGTGTAGTCTCTAGAATCCGAGCAGTGGCTCATTGTTTAGTTATTTTGTTTATGGATATGCTGCCTTTGTCTGGAGGAAATAGTTTTTAGTTTGTGGTTTGAGATCGTAAACTGTGGAAAAGAATTTGGAACCAAAAAGAAGGCCTATTGTAAATTCCAAAATATCTTTCCAAACCATTGTGTGCTGCTAAAGTGTAAAACTGACAGCACTTGCACTAGAGTCCTATGTTAAAAGTTGTTTTTGTTACATGAAGTAACCATATTTATAGAATGCTCTCAAGTGGATTTTCGCTATTGTTTACACATCTGTCACCAGACAAGCATCATACACAAACTTCACAACATGTAAAACTTGATAGCTTATAGATTTATCATCAATATAGAAGCAGAAAGTACTTGCAAGAAAACCCTTAAAATCACTTGAACTCCAGGGATTAAGAAAGTTAACCCTTGCAATGGGAACTAAGATTTAACTGCTCATTTTCTTCTATGGCCAGAATACAGAAGATAAAGTCACTAGACTTCAAAGGTTGAACCCGATGGACATGTGTGTCTCTAGTCAACCTCAGCTACTATGCAACTATGATACTCAACACTGCGGCAGTTAGCACTCCCCTCTCCCCCTCCACTCCAGCTGTCCCTCAGCATCCTCACGTCTAATGCAGGTGAATGGACCTGCATTAGACATGATAAGGTCATTAGACCGCAGGAGCCCGGGGGAGAAGAGGCTGCAGGGGACTGGTCTGGCAGCTAAGCGGGGCCGAGAATCAGATGAGTATCTCTTTATTTTTGTCACTAGACCAAAACGAGCAGTTAAAAGTTAACTCTTGCATGGAGCCTACCCCTGTACTGCAAGGGTTAATTCCTGAGTTCTTTAACATACCCCCTACGTAACCATATTTACTCATAATTCCTGATGTCCCATCTTAATTATGTTAGGTTTAGTCAAGTTATAATGGAACATTTGAAGGCAAATGCTCAGGATGCATTTGTTTTTCTGGCTTTTTTACCCTTGTTAATTCTGCAAATAACATTTCTTGTCCCAGGGTGACCACTTTCACTCCTCCACTGCATCTATAGCGGTATGCATGGGTGCCACCCATGCTGGACTATCAACAGATCTGCCTTTGTTTATCTCCTTAAAGGTGCCCATACACTGCACGATCGTACGAGAATCGCGGGAAATCCCGCAATCGTACGATAAATCGCAAAGTGTTTGGAAGGTGTGCGACCGGTTCTACTGTACGGTCGCACCTCTTACATCGAACAAGCAGGCTGGAAAACCCGCTGGGAATCGTACGATTCTTGTTCGACAACTGCCAAAACGGGCCAGTGTGCGCACACTGCCCGTTTGCAGTCATCGGAAGACCGCCCCTCATTGCAGTCATCGGAAGACCGCCCCTCATTGCAGTCATCGGAAGACCGCCCCTCAGGGGGGCGGGCTTGCGATGATCGCAAGTACGATCTGCCTGTCCAAGATGGGCAGAGCGTACATTTTTTTAAATTACTTTACAACCCTCGCAAGACAAAAGTCTTGCGAGGGTTGTAAAGTGTATGGCCACCTTTAAACAGCAGCTGATGGAATTAGTAGTTTGCATAAGATAGGTAATTGTTTTTTCTTTAGGTCAGCTGGAAGTAAATAAGGCTACTGCATTTCAGTTATTTTCTGTACTTTCTGTACTTGCTGAAAAGGATTTTTAGCTGGAAAAAAACAAAAAAACTCATGCAGTTACCACATCTAGACTAGACGGGTGAGCTCCAATAGATTTAATTTTTTGTTCTTGGATTTAGTCATCCATTAAAAACCCAATATGTCAATGGTTGAGTACAAATCTGATTTTTGAGAACTGGCCTAGTTGCTTCTAGACACACCCAACACCTGGAGCATATACCTGGGAGCAATGACATTCCATAAAGTTATCTGGCATAAACACGGTCCAAAGAACAGTTTGCCCAACAGAACTATTTCAAGGGTAAACAAGGATATTACAATTACACTAGAATTATATCACATATAACCTAAAAAAGACAAAGTCCCTGGGGTTATATATACACTGCAGTGTCCTGGAAGAGAGAACTCCCCCCGTTTAGCACCATGCTCGGATATGATGGAGAAATGTTGTCCATTTCTTGAGGTTATGTATGATGAAAGCAAAGCAAGCAAGAAGAAAGCTAAATTAAAAAAAAAAAAAAGAAGTGCTTTACAAGATCACTATACATTGATGTTATTTATCATCAGTGAAAGCTTTTGAAAGAAGAAACCCTAAAAAGAATAGCACAGTAATATTTTTGCTCATTAAACTCACTTTTTAACCTGTTGCAATTTGGCTTCTTCTGCTTTTATATAATCTTTTAGTGAAGTGACCAGGTCTTTCTCAGTATACAGCAAGTCTGTCATGTGGCCTGTAATACAAATGTCACATAGGTGAAAAAGTCATCTGTGTACTTGTATATAATCCTGTAATTGTCCAATATGAAAGTTTTCTGGTTTTAATCTATACAGTGTTATATTTAGGGTGTAATGAAGTAAATGAAACTTACCTCTAGAATTCCAATCCTAAGATATGCAAGTGCTGGGGCCTAGAAGCTTTGTGTGCTTAAATTTGTATTATGCAACACATAGAATGCCAGTAACATTATGAGCCTGTATAATGGATGGTGACAGGTGGAATGAAGTAGAACATAATATCTCAAACTACATGATATTCCCTGCCAGGAATCTACAGGAAGCAAAATAATATAATTTGACTGTCCATAATAAGCTTGAACGCCAGCCAGCTGTCCCCTGCCATAGTAGAAGCGAAAGTGAAATCTTTTGCAGTCTTTATGAACGTTGGGTGCCACTGCTATTTGACACTTCTGGGTGTTTCGGATGACTGACCACCACAGTTCCAGTGGGAACGACTAGAGCGCTCAGCATGATCATAAACCCATTGATGGGACCTGCGTCTCAGTGGACTCCAAAAAAAAAAGCATTTTACAGGGAGTACAAAATCCTGTTTGCTTTCTCATCCACTGTGGGACACAGGAAATCTACTGTTGAGGGGGGCAAATGTTCTTATGAATGTTCTTATTGTGGCAAAGGTCCCTGCTCACATCATGGCTGCAGATGATTTGCTGGACTGGGGTGGGTCAAGTGGTTCTTAGAACCATGTTCTGGATCAAAGTTAGGCAGGTCTTGCAGAGTTCCTCTGTCAGGCCCCAAGGGCACGTCTGGGTGTTGGAGGGGGATGCCCATCCTCTAGTTCTTTTGGTGTTCACATGGACAAGCCTTGGGTTGTAGTTTACCTTAATTCCTGCCTATATTTGTACAGGTACCTCTCGGAACCTACCTTTTTCCTTTAGTCTGGCTAACTTCATAGTCCCCAGCCAAAAGCCCATTTCCACCTTTGCAGAGATAATTGTTTTAAAAAACATATGCCAGCAATGAACGCCGAGTGTAAATGAAGCAGGCATACGCAGTTGATGTATATGAAAACAGAAACTCTAATTTTTTTGTTAGCTTTCCTCTTCATATTCTCATGGAAATGCCTCTGTGTTTTGCAAGCTCTTTCTGAGCTCTACCATTCATTAGTATTCATAGTGGCACTCGCACCCCCTCTTCCTCCGGACAGTGTATTGTGTGCAAAGGCAGAGCTGGTGTTTACCGATCATGTTACAATGAACAACAGGGGGGGGGGGGGGTAGGAGATGTTTATAGCATAATTACCCAATTACCATCTGACCCCAATGTCGGACTGATTTTCAAAATGTTGAATTTTTTGGCTTCAGTCCTAATAAAACCTTTTTTTTTTTAAGGAAACCCTAAAATGTGAGTCATTAAAATGTGCACCACTGCACGTGTTCATTACCACAATAAATGCAAATCACTTACAAAAGGTGGAAATGGACTTTAAGTTCTGTTAGTCTCAGGGGTATTAACTATACTTATGGGACAATATGCTGTGACGATTTTGACTTTTTTGGATATCTACTTTGCTTGCAGTGAACTTCATATAGTCTTGGTTTGCTTGCAATTTAAGATTATAGGTTCTAGTTCATGCCACTTGTCACAGTTATAAAGTTACAGTCTCATAATGTTACTGGCATTCTGTATAGTAAACAAGACAAATGAAAAAACAAACACCAGGCCATGTTTACACTGGATACTAGACAGGATGGCTGTAAGGTTGACACCCTGTACAAAAGTTCTCACTTATGCACACAAATATTTAAATTGCATCAACATTACAATTACACTTTTTTTTATTACAATCAATTTCTAAATCACAAACCCGCGGCTTCATACATCTGTAAGGATTCAAATAGATCAGTTAATTGTTTTATGGTCAAGTTGAGCTCTACAATCCAACAGATGATTTCTGGCACTCTGATGTACAACCATGTGCAACAAAAGATTAAAAAGAAAAAACAGCCCTATGCTTGCATAAAGGGAGTTAACAGTAAAACAGAACAGTGCAAGCTATCCAAAGGCAGGGTCCTTTAGCAATTATTTGGTCGTTCATTTAAAATGAGCTCCCTATGGATCATTAAAGAGGATTTCAGATCATAAAATGCTTTAAAATCTTCCCAGAAGTGCCAGAATCATCATATTGTAATATATAGACCGTTAACTAAATGAGGAAGATGAAGAACACATGGGGAGGCCAATTTTCAGCTTTGGTAGCCAACATGATCAGCTTTGCCTCACTTAACCTTTGCTTTGTTTTAATTAATCTTCAATGGAAAATCTGTAAATATAGATGCTGACTGGTGTCATTGTGTTTACATACAATCATGGGACAATATGCTGTGACGATTTTGACTTTTTTGGATATCTACTTTGCTTGCAGTGAACTTCATATAGTCTTGGTTTGCTTGCAATTTAAGATTATAGGTTCTAGTTCATGCCACTTGTCACAGTTATAAAGTTACAGTCTCATAATGTTACTGGCATTCTGTATAGTAAACAAGACAAATGAAAAAACAAACACCAGGCCATGTTTACACTGGATACTAGACAGGATGGCTGTAAGGTTGACACCCTGTACAAAAGTTCTCACTTATGCACACAAATATTTAAATTGCTTTAAAATCTTCCCAGAAGTGCCAGAATCATCATATTGTAATATATAGACCGTTAACTAAATGAGGAAGATGAAGAACACATGGGGAGGCCAATTTTCAGCTTTGGTAGCCAACATGATCAGCTTTGCCTCACTTAACCTTTGCTTTGTTTTAATTAATCTTCAATGGAAAATCTGTAAATATAGATGCTGACTGGTGTCATTGTGTTTACATACAATCATGACATAAGAAAAAAAAAATATCTATATAGCCTTACCAATTGACGTAAAGAAGTCTACATGTGCTCCACACATAGAAACAAGCATCAAGATAGGCAAGGAACAGAAAACCTCCATGGCTTTCATTGTAAATCTGTGAAAAATAAAATATATTTAGCGCTACAACGATATATTTACTCATCATTCCCTAATAAAAAAAAAAGGAATATGTTCCCACTATACAGGTCTTGGAAACCCATTTCTAGATGTGCACTGAAAGAAGCTACAGCACAGTGCAAGGCCCCACATTTTTCTCTGTTTGGAAAAGTAACACTCATTACAATTCCCATATGGGCAGACATCAACTGTGACAGCAGTCGTCAGCGAACAACAACATGTTCTCCGAAGGTAACCATGCACTAAACCTGCTGCAACTAACATCCACAAATCAAGTGTTATAGCGTTATTTCTGCATATCAATGATATCTGACCATGACTTAAAGCTCTCCCAAAGCAGAATACACATGTAATTAAGCATAGTCATCCTATCTCAGGCATCTGCAGATGCCTGCAGGTCAGGTCTTTGACCCCTCCCGAGTCTCCACCAGGTCTGGACAGATCACAGTAGCCATGTAGCCAATGAGTCCTAAAAATGACAGCTAGCACCTAACTTTTGTCTGACCAAATTTTGTCTATGGAGCTGGCTCCTATAAAATAAATAAAATGATTCTGTTGGCTCCTGAATGCAATGTTAATTTGTCCACCTCTGGTCTCCACTGTAGGCCATTGCTCTGATGGGTAACTTAATTGACCAATACTGAAGATACAGTGGTGGGAGAGGAAAGGGCAAGGGCTCTGCCCAGGAAACATCTATTCATCAGATCATGCAGGTATCTCCAGCAATGACAAACCAGAAATTAGAGACAGACCCTAGGGTTGCCTGTCACAAACATGGAAAATCACACTAAGCATATGATTAGCTAATGAATAAGCTGAGGGGACCCCCACCCTCCCCCCAAAAAAACAACCCACCAGTGAGTAGATGTATAGGCAGCAGAATTTATATGCAATTCTAAACGTTCCCTGTATAACCCAACCCTTCCCACCGTCAGGACACCCTACTGATTCTTTGTGACTGTTGGTCAGTGGGACTGCCAGAGGCTCAGGAAGAGAAAAAGGTCAGGGTCAAGATCATTTTTTGCATTAAAAAAAAAACGCCAAGATCTACATAATACTTCACATCTGTGTATATCTCAGCATATAGAATGTTTACAGGTTACCTCCCCACCCCATGTATTTTTTCATAATCAGCATCGAAGATGGTTAAAAAGTCTGGAAAGCACTGTCTTAAGGTGCCCATACACCTGACGATTATTGTACGATAATCGTGGGCGATTCCGCGATCGTACAATAATCACAAGGTTGATTGGCAGTGTGCGACCACATGATTTTCGTATAAGGAGCACGCTAGAAAACCCACCGAAAATCGTACGTTTTTCGGCAGGTTGGTAGCACGATCGCAAGACGAAAGCCGCATGACCTGAGGTGCGCAAGCGCACATTGCCCGCTCACCATTGCAATCCTCTGCAAGCCCTCCCCTCAGCGGGGAGGACTTGCAATGATCGCAAGTACGATCTGCCTGTCCATGATGGGCAGGTCGTACTAAATTTTAATCACCTTACAACCATCGCACAACGAAAGTGTAGTAAAAGGAAATCACATTTGTTCATGGATAACTTTAAAACCTTTAAAACCTTTGTCTGCTTAAGTGATTAATCAAGAAATGCAAACAATTACAGGAGGTACCGGAGGCAGCAGATTGTACTTGAACACTATAATTTGGATTACTTGATGAAAATGTACACAGACAGATTTTAAAGACGTGAACCTGGTTGTTACATAAACATTTTCTTTGCACAGGCTTTCATTTTGAAGACAAGTGAAATACAATAACATTACATAACTTGCTCTTGGCTAGAAATCTGCCCAGCGTTAGACGGTAACTGATTCATTTAGGGTATACTTGAAAATTATATGGGTAATTTCTGTAAAAATAGCTTTATGTATGGCTTTAGAGACTTTGCAGTTTTATGACAAAGTGTACCAGTCACTGTCAACCAAATAATGCAGTGTAGCTTGTAAAAACACAAAGCCTATGGTTTTAGAAATTAAGGAATATTGAAAGAGGTCATCCTGCAGCAAGATGCTATGCGCTACCTGTCATGTAGCCAATCCGTATATCATTAGTATGGGGGACATGCAGTTTCCTTCTTTAAGAAAAAACTTCCTAGAGATTTCCCAGCTAGCAGCACCTTTAAAAGGAAACACTGGCATCCATAATCTTCAATATGTTGACCCAATCTTGAATGCAAGTCCTACACTGTCCTACACTGGCTTCCACTCGCCCAGAGGATAAAATTCAAAATATTAACAGTCACCTATAAAGCCATCCACAACTCTAATGGTCTCAGAACATACAGTATATGCAGCAAGTAAAATCAGAGCTCTTGATCTGAAAGAGCTCTTGATCTCTAAAATGGGGCCTTGTGAACAATACAGGTGGGCCATAATCTGCTGAATGGAAGAACATCGTTCTATAAATATATGATAAAGGCCCAAAACTGAATCTGTCTATAGCATTTTATTTTGTCACAATCCATTAATCTTCTCTGCTCGCTGGCATGTGTTAATATTTTTACTCTGTTGCAAAGAGCTGAAGCTATTGACCGTCACATGTCAGAAGCATTTTGAGCGGATGAAAAGCTAAGATGGTGTGCTACCCACAGATCCTAAATGTCAAAACAAAGAAATTATTTCAGCTTAGTCCTGATGGAAGATGTTTATCCTAAATTGGCATAGTTAGTGTATCCCAATAAAAATAGCTGAAATGGTCAATAGTTTTTGCAACTGACCATATTACCCTAGAGTACAATGTAATACCATGCCATTAAATCACAGCATTTCCCTTTAAGTTTGTGTGAAAAAGTATTATAAATCACCAACCAAGTGTCCGTAAATGAAGGACCTGTGTGGGGTTGTGTGTCAAGTATAAAAGCAAGTATTTTATGGCAGGAAAATACATTTCAAATAGAAACCCCATTCATTTTGATGTAGCTAGTTCATATATAGTCACTGTAAAAATAAGGGTTTATATTTTTTTACATTAAAAGGAGAACTATGGAGGTGAGTGCTTTCCACTAGCCTCATAGTTCTAGCCGACCTGTGACAATGAGACTGTCACAGGTCGGCTCAGTAGATCGGGAGGTGAGCGAACACATACCGGCGTTCGCTCACCTCTCGATCCTGTCACGGCTCTCTGCCGTGACAGGGGAGGGGCTGGATTCCCCGCTCCGATTCGCCAGTGCTGACTGGCAGAACGGACAGGGGAGGGGGCGGGTACAGCTGGCTCTGCCTTTAGATAGGCAGAGGCAGCTGTCAGTCACGCAGCTGGGCGGATCCCAGCACAATTGTCAGGATCCGCTTCGGCGTCTCAGTATACCGCGAGCAGCAGCTCGCGGTATACTGAGCCTAGGGTGACGGGAGGACACTAGTTTGTGTCCTCCCATTACCCTAAGGAGAACTATGGGGAAAAGACTTAAACCCCTAAGTTCTCCTTTAAAATACAGCGCTTGCTGCATTTTTATGAGTTTACACACCCATGGCTCATTTATAATGGAAAGTGGATATTGAGATCCTTTCTCCTTTAAACTCTGCAGGGCCAAGAGGATGGTTAGTTCATAAATAGTGCTGTTGTATACAGTCCCCTAAAGAGTCCTTGCTTCTTTGGGAGTGCACAATGGAAAATCCATATTCTGAATTTTTCTCCATATTACAGTGCAACACACAAGAATGCTCATCAAAACAAGGCATGCATCTGAATAAGGGGCCTAAGGCCTCATTCACACACAACGCAAGCAAAATTGTATATTGCGTATATACGCGTCTATGCGTGCACTATATGCAATCCCAGAATGCATCACTCGTAATGGAATTTTTAATGTGCGTACATGCGCGCTTAAATACGCAGAAATACGCTGCCCGGACGCATCTCTGTTCCATTCTGTTTTTGCGCATATATACGCTACGCAAATATACGGGTGTATGGAGCCATTTATTTGCATAGGTTGCATATGGTACAATACGCACGTACGCATACGTGCGGCAGTGTGAATGAGGCCTTAAACAGTGTCCAGCTACCACTGAAATACCCAGTCAGTAATAGGCATGTGTACCCAAAACAAACAATTCAGTGTTTGTTTTATGTTGCACCAACTTTTGTACATCTCTAGGGTCACCAGGTGGTTGATTGGACTGCGCTGTATGTATATATGCAAACAAATATTTTTGCCTGAAAATTACTTAAAACCCCCAAATGTAATATATTTTCTGAAAGCCAAAACCCTATAGAATTAAATGGTGGCAGTTGCAAATTTTTATGCACGATATTAGCACAACTCCTTATCAAACCCCAAAATGTAATGATAAATGCACTTAAAATGTCCCAAAAAAAAAAAAACCCTTTTTATCAAATATAAAAGCTGAGGTAACAACGAGTAACTAGATACCCAACATGCCCAGTTTAAAAATTGTGTACATCCGTGTTAGTGCGAGAAAATGCAGTACCCCAAAAAGTCCATAAGAGGACGCTTTAAAAGCCCCCACAGGTCATCAGTTTAGAGATGCACGTAAATATTGGCCCTAAAATTATTGCTCTCACTCTGGTGCACTCTGGTGTGCGCGATCGTCGTTTTCATACATAGGCGCACCACAGGTGGGTTTACGTGAAGACGCGCATGCTCGTGGGGGACTTTTTACATTTTAATTAATATTAACTTTTTTTAACTTTAATTGCTATCACATAGCGGGGCTTACAAGCCCCCTATGTGATAGCATATTGGCAGTGACAGGTACTCTTTAAGGGGATACTGGGGATGCAAAAGACCCCTAGTATCACCTTTACACTTGAAGCTAGTGAAGTGCAGATCGCACTTCAATAGCTTATTGATGGGCTTCAGGAGCCCAGCACTGACAGCTATGGGACCGGAGATCGATGAATGGAGGTTCGCCGATTTCCTCCCAAGCTTCCCCCTGACACCAGAGAAGCTGGTCCCAGGCCTGTAGGAGGGGCAGGTTCTCAGACGGGGCCC